ACTTTTCTTTTTTAATATTACCAGACAGTGATTTACTTTATACATCTAATTGTAATTATATCCATATTTATAATAATCAAATTATAATTATAATTAAACTTTAAGTTTAATGTGTATATCAAAAATTAGTTATTATCAAAATTATTTTATTGACTAAAGTATTCAGAGATAATTTTTCCAAAAAGAGTCAAATTTTAGAGTATAATTATAAAAACAAAATTTCAAGTGCATTAATCAATTTCATTAAATTTTTCACTTACTTGTGATCTTAATATACTGAATAGTTTCTCTAAATTTTGAAAGTTTATTATGGCCGGAATAGCTGAATTTTAAATCAATTTTATTTAAATGTTATTTATAATTATAATTATAATAAATTATTATTTTAGTTCCTCAATTATATGTTATTTTATGATGATTTAAATTTTTTTGTCCATATTTTATTTCAAATTAAAATTGAAAGTTATATAACATATAAAAATTAACCTTGAAATTTTATTTATTTATTTTATATAATCAATATACATGACAGTAATAGACATTAAGTGATATGTACTTTTAATAAATAATGACTACTTTTCAAGAAAAAAAAAAATTAGAGAATAAGGAAATCTTTATTTATTTTTAAATTTCAAATATAAACTAGAACATTATATTTTTAGGTAATTTTTTATGTTACGTACTCAATTAATACAAGAATAATTTTTACTACTCAATAATTTAAATTAATTTTTTAGATTCAAAATTTATAAATTTACCATTATAATTATATATTATGAAAGCGGTATATGAACAAGATTGGAATTTAAGCAATAATAAACTTCATGAGTAATTAATTATCCATAAAAAAAAAAAACCTCATTGTGCGTAATTGTTCCTTTTATTATTAATTTAATAAAATTAAAATATTTTTGTAATCTGGATAACAAAAATATAATAAAAAGAAGATAACAAATAAACAAATTACTTTAATTAATTAATTATTTAAGTAACATGCATGCATGCATATTCAACATTGAAGAGCTCAAAAAAATCAAGAAATATATTTTCTTATCACCCATAGAATTAAAACTACTGATGAATTATAATTATAGCAAAATAATACTCTTCTATATTATGCATGACATCATATCTGCCTCATGCAGATGTAATAATCTTTATTTAATAAAAAAAAGTACGTAAAAACTTGCATCTATATATAATAATAATATAATAAGGTCAACAAGAACCAACTTATTAAAGAGAAATTAACAAAGTATGAAATCATTCTTTTATTTTTTTTAATATAACCTCTATATGTAAATAAATTAATCAAAAAATATCAGAAATCTATATTACAAGATCATATATAAAAACCCTAAACATGAACAGATAACAAGAAGAAGAAGAAGAAGAAGAAGAAAAATCAATTAACCCGGCCTGTTATATTGTGTATGTATATAGATATATATGAGACAAAAAATAAAAAGAAATTAAGAGTTTAAGTTACATATACCACAAGATAGGTGTTGTTTTAGAAGAAGCAATCCACCATGGGAGATGTTTTCTGAAGCTTAAACAACTCCAAATCGTTCTCCATCGGCGTCAAGTTCAGATCCAACCACAAAACCCTCCTACTGTTAGATCTCTTCACCAGAGTTTTATTGTCAAAATCCCGAGGGGCAGGAAGAGGCTGGTGGTGGTGGTGGTGGCCGGCGATTGTCGTTTCATTTCTGCTACTTCCACCTCCACGGTGGCGCCTCATGTGACCGCCGAGAGCTTGTCCGATGGCAAACTCCAGCCCACAGATGGAGCACTCGTGAGTCTTGGGCTTCGCCGGAGACGACGACGACGATAGCGACGCGGTTGAGTCCTTGTCTGCAGTATTACCACTCCCTTCTTCGGTCGTAGTCGGCATCAACCTCGGTTTCTTGTGGCTCGCTCTGTGACCACCCAGAGCTTGAAACGAAGGGAACTGCCTGTTACACGTCTTGCACTCGAAAACCCTAATAGGGTTTGCTGCCGCCATGGTCGAACCTTCATAAAAGTTTCCTCCTTGAGACAGCAGCATCAAGCAGTTCGCCATGGTTAAGCTATCAAGCTCTCCTACTCCTCCCTGCAAATTACTTCTCTTCATGGCTGCGTTTTCTAATTTCTTTTATATGTTGAGAAAAGGAAGAAGTAATGAAAGTGGAACTTGCTTGAGTTGATAGCCTTTGGTATTTATAAGTTGGTTTTGAACTTTTTGGTTCATGTTTGACTTTTTATTAAATGACGCTTTTACCCTTAACTACTTGCATTTAAAAAAGAAAAAAAAAACCACTCAGCGTATGGGTATTTTTTTAAAAAAACAGATTTTTACTTCGGAAGTACGAATTAATGAGGCGGCGAAGGTAACACGTCAGCATGACCGAGTTCGTGAGCCAATACGGTAGAGTAGAGTGGATCAAGTCGTGAGTTGTGAGTCTTGACACGGGTGAGCTTTATTGACGAGTTCTTGTACGTGGAATTTTCTTCTAGAAGATTCTCACTTTCTTGTTCGTCGTTTGGGTACAGAAAGTCAAACCCGGAGAAAGTGAGAAGTCAAAGAATTTTATTTGCTACGTGGAGAGTAATGATTGGGTGTTCGGCAATGGTTAAGATAGTTCCGTCTGTAATTTAAAAAATCAGGTAGTAAAAGCACGCGCTGCTGCTGGTTTCGTGACGCGTGCGAGTATTAAAAAAAATTTCGCAGTTTCACACACAACCACACTCGTTTACGTGCAGTCTCGTCTTATGGTATACATCTTAATATCTATCTATACGTTGAAAATTGTAAGATGAGTTAGTTCAATATTTTATTAATATAATCTCATGTTTTAAATATTTAAGAGATAATTGTTGTATTTAAATATACAAATATATATTATTACATTACTTTTTTAAATATAATATCAAAATTTATTTCTATATTTTAAATTTTAAATAAATAATTATTATATATCTTATAATTTTTATACTAAATGCAAAATAATTTTAAAAAGTGAAGAATTAACACGTATCAGTTGTTGGTATATATCTAGTTATATATATATATATATATATATATATATATATATTAAACTGTATGTGCATGTGTCAAGGTCAAAAAATATTATTGTGTGTGTATTATTTATATATTCTAATTTGAGTGTGGATAAAAGTCTATATTTGTTTTTACATTTTATACCCACTATTTAATGTAAATTTTGGAGTACATTTCAAACCTTACGGAACAAAAATTATAACGCATAATAATTATATCAAATCACGATATGAACACAATTAGGTATATACACACACACACACACACAATTACGTGTATATATCATGTGGTTATTTATGGTCTTTGTTGACGTATGTAGATGAAACGTTTTTTTTTTTTTTTCTAACATGGATGCATATATCATGTCAACATTTGCGTACATATAACAATATAATATATATATATATATGTATATGTATATGATGAGAAATAAAAATAATATAATTATAATACATTTATGAAGAACTAAAATTTTTATTTGGAAATAAGATTCTGCAATTCCCGCCGTCCCATGATCAGAATTCAACCGAGAAGTAAGAATACAAATTTTGGTAATTAAGCTTTTCTTTATTTATTATATAAAAAAAAGTCCTCTTAATTACTAATAGAAATTTTATGAATTTAAAGTAGAAAAGACGATTAGATTATCAAATCATCACTTTGACTTGGGTGGTTATACAAATTATGTAATTAAATTCTTTGACTTATTTTTTTTTTCTATTTAATTATTATACATAAAAATTTTATAATTTTAGTTAATATCAAATATTTAAAAAAAAAATTGTGCTCATTTTGTAGATGAGATGAGAGACTAAAATATATTTAAAGTAACTAAATGTGTTGATAATTATTTAATCATGTTAGTTGTTCAAATAATACTTAAAAAAAAAAAAAAAACTTTTGAATTACTTATCTTTTTTTTTTTAAAAAAAAAAAGAAATCTCCCTTTAATTGACGTACAAATTTTGAAGTAGTAATAATTAATTAAGTTATTCTCAAGAAAAATGTTGTTCAACTAACTAATTGAATTGCTTTTATACATGCATATAAATAAATAAAATATTAAGATAATTACACATTGCTGACTTAACCTAAAGCGATAAGTTGTATTTATTATGTTAATAATAATAGTTTCGTTCTGATTGAATTACTCCATACGTATATACTGTATATATACAGTGTATAAGCTATTCAATATTATAGTGATTACTTTTCTTAATAAATAAGTAAGATTTTTTTCTAGATAAACTAATTATAAGTATAGTTGTTAATTAACTGCTTTGTATATTTTATATATCAATAGTTTATACAAAGCCAAAACTACAAGAAAGATACATACATAATATATGTATGTATGTATTCCTGTACGGAACCGGTACCTGATTATTTAATTTGATACTTCTATTGACTATATAATTTGGCTTTGTGACAATTTTATTCTTTTAATTGCGATAAAAAATTGAAATATATATATATTTTTAAATACTTTCATAACGAAATTAGGTACTATATATCCTAACTAGCTGTATATATAATTAAATAATTAATTAGTGCTAGTCGGTGCTTTTTTAAATGCCAATTAATATTTTTTTTTCCAGAAAAATTAAGAACCTAATTAATATATACTCTTCCACATATGTGGTTATATAAAGACTTGAGTGGCCAATATATTAATTAATTATTTATTTATAATTATTTCTTAATGACTTGACAATCTCTAGTCTATAATGTTGACATACAAAAAAAAAAAAAATAGAGAGAAATTAGAAGTGATGTTAATCTCACGTTGTTTCCTTTTGCTTTCAAGTAATTATGCATTGAGGGAGACTTAATTATCGCCAACAAAATGTTAGATGTATTATAATGAGTGTATGTATAGGTTTCAAGTTGTGGATCCAATAAATTAATAAATATTATACGCCTTTCTTGGGTTATCAAAAATAGACTTAGATGGTGCTATATATAATGGACCATGCCTTAAGTAATTAGTATATATACGCATAAAAAAAAATTATTTATTAGCTTATATAAGTAATATTATATCTATTATATATGAATTATAGTTTTAAAATTTTATACATAACTATTTTAGTTAACTTAAAATTTTATTTTGATTAAAAACTTTTAAATAAATAACCATTATAATGTTATTAAATTTTATTTTTGTATCTTAAAAATTCAAATTAACAATTATTATATATATGTTATCTCATTACTTTTATTTTAATATTTTAAAATCTAAAAGATAATATTTAGAATTTTGTTTATATGTAATATATGTTTATAATATGTAATACTCGGGTCCGGAATTTGGTTAGGGATTAATTTTAACATTAAAAAATGTATAAAAATCTAATTTTAAAATTAATAAAATTTAATTTAATGTGAATTATAAAAAAAAAATAGGTTGATGATGAAATTAAAAATAATTTTGAAAAAAAAGGGTGAAATTTTGGGGTTGGATGACGTTTTTGAAAGAAAAATTAGAAACTGGAGGTCAAAACGCAATTAAAGAAAATTACACCACATAGGACCGCCTAGTCAGCAGTCCCGACGAACTGGAACGCGTTGCGTGATAAGACACGCTGACTCGGTGTCACGTGAACGGTCCGGATCCGTTCTCTCCTCAGGCGCGATCGAACGGTCGCGATTAAACGCGATGAATAGCGCAGATTCGTTCTCCCCTCAAACACGATTGTACAATCGAGATCAAATCGCGATGAACGGTCCATATTTATTTTTTCTTTAAACGTGATCAGACAATCGAGATTAAACGCGATGAACGATCCAGATTGATGCGAGATGACTATAAATATCTCGCATCATACCGAACCCAAACCCTGGCCACCAGCTTCCCGCCAGAGAAGATGAACCAGTCGCCAGAGAAGAAGAACTCGTCATCGGAGAAGGGAGTCGACCGCCGCACTGGAGCCACCTCCGACCACAAAAAAATGTAAAAATTCTTTTATCCGCTCGGAACTTGATTCTGAGCACCTCCATGGCTAAATCAGAGCAAAAAAAATGGCGAATGAGCCGAAAACTACGGGTAAAGCTCAGCGGCGGCGTCGCGGGCAAAAACTACAACCGCCTCCGATGAGTCCCTTCACGATTCTCGTTTTGTGTGATTTTTTCACAATTGTAATCACCATTCTGTTTTTTACATATAGACTGAAGGAAAATGCCCAGCTACGAAGGTGAACCGGTGGAGCTGCCGCACTGAAAAATTCCACTGCTGGTAAGTTTCTATTTTTTAATTTTTTTAGGCCAACCGAGGCCCTCTAACGTGTTTTCTCACATGGATGGGTATAAAACCGACTGAAACCAGCCAAAATTAGCCAAAAATAGCCAGGCCAAGGTAAACCGTGTAGGTGACGGTACCGTCGCCGGAGCGTGGCGGTGCCGCTGTGCTGGAATTTCGAAATTAGCTAGAAAAGAGTTTTAACACAAATTTTATATTTTTTTGGGTATTTTTAAGTACGTAAAGCGTGTTTTAATCTCAACATGAAAATTCAGGAACTTGGGGACTCCTAGTAGGCGCAGTAGAAAGTTCAGTATTTTGGACACCAATTCGAGTAAGAATTCCTTACCTTATTCTCTATTATGGAATTGAAGTCTAATTATCAATAATATGGTATCTTGCATTCTAGAATTAATTATAGGTTACTAATGGAGGCAGAACCAGTTATTTATTATTGTTTGTTCTGTTTAATTGATTGTTTGATTTTACAGTTTTAAATGCATGATAATACATTGAAATTTTTAAGATCATTTAGTTGTATTTTCTTGATGCATGTATTGGTTGTCTTGCGTGATTAATGATTAAATTGTGAAACTAAAAATTAAAATATAATCGAAAAATTGATTGGTTAAGTGAATGAGTGAATTATTGTCTTACTAGATATTCTAAGAGATGGTGGACGGATCGAGTACATAAAAAATTCTATCGTAAATGTTACCTCATACCGGACGGGGTATCAATTGTAGTAACAGGATGTAAAGAGAAAAAAAAAAGAAAAAGAAAATTTCTGGCATGTATGTATATATGTGTATATAGAGATAGTTATAGAGTGAAACAGTGCCGTTTGGAGAAGAGGATGAGGAAACAATGTCATTTG